GTTTATAGATAGTAACTCTTGTAAAAGAAATACATATGTAAACTAAATAAAGCACGTTAGGCAAGGCCTAGCTAGTTAATTAAAAAAAAAAAATAATAATAATTTACCTATTAAATTTATTATAAGAGTTGGAATCGAATAGAATCAAACACAGAATCATTAGGATCCTTACACTTCAATATCAATTCGATATCAGTTCAATACTTAAATTTACTATAAATTTATATGAGTGGATCATAATTTATATATTAAATTTACTATAGATTGGTACTATTTTGATATCATTTCAATATTAGTTTGATACTTTTCAGAGCCCTAGTTTGTATAAATAAATTATATAGTAATAAATTATAATTAAATTATATATATAATAAATTATTAATATATTAATTATAAACTTTATTTAATAAAATTATATATCTAGAGCTTTTAATATTATTAATTCAATATTAGTTTAATATCAGTTTGATACTTAATTTACTATAAATTTATATAAGTAGGTTACAACCCATATATTAAATTTATTATAGATTGATACCATTTTGATATCACTTTGATACTGATTCAGTACTTTTTAAAACCCTATATACTGTATATCTAATACTTATTTAATAATAATAATAATAATAATAAATATATATTATTCAATTATTAATTATATAGATATATTTAATTATTTTTATTTTTTATTTAAACAATATATATAATTTGATTTGATTTTTTTTTTCAATTAAACTAAAGTTATTTTATTTATTAAATTAATATGAACCAAAATATAAAATAAATTGACTATATAAATCTTTTCAATCCAATTTACTTATTTGTAATATTAAGTCTCTAAATATAATTTATAGAGATAATATATTGCTTATCTTAAAAATGGGTCTTTAAATTAAAGGCAAGAATATAATTCAAATATTCCTTATTATTAAAAAAGTTTTTTTTAAATATAAGATCAAAAAAAAAAACATCTACAAAGGTTTTTTACAATTTAGATCACTTGATTCAAATGTTTTTTGAATTATATTTCTATTAAAATAATGAATAAATAATTATGTTCCTTCAAAAGGAATATAATTAATCTGTAAAATTTTATATGTTAAACAATTTAGGAACCTATCTTTAGCTTATTTATCAAATAGAATTAAAAATTATTTTGTTTGATAAAGTTATAATCTGTAAATTATTTTTATAAAACAGTATATATAATTTGAATTAATTATAATTTTCAATTATTAATATAATGAAATATAAAGAAAAAAATTTTTTTTGTTTCTAATAAACAAATTATAATAATTAAAAACATATAAAAGTTTTTAAATTTGTATTAAATGTATATAAAAATTAAATTAAATTAAAAACTAAAATTTTTAAAACCTTTAATGGATTTTTAGATTATCAGATAACTTGAATTTTGCTTATAGATTATTTCATATTATTAAATTTTTAATTCAATGCATTGTAAATTAAGAATATTATGCATCACACGTGTCTTAGAAAATCCGAGAACCACCAGTGTCGTGCAAGAAAATAGATTGACAAGATGTTTACACTAATACATGTAATTTTCATCAGTCACGCATACATCAGGAAAAAACCATGTCTTGTTCCTCGAGTTCCACCGAAGAACATAAGAAGAATGACTGCAACGAAATGTACATACGTAATTTACAAATTTTACGCGTTTTTTTCTTTATCGACGCGTCACTATTCTTACGTTTTCATTTCAACACAAGGAATACTATGGTCAACATGCTCCAGAGGAGTATTGAGGGCGTACAAAATTCCTTCAGTACCGTCTACTCCGTATGTGGATACCACTACCTGTAGTCTGTGTCTTATCGAATTTCTACTTTTTTTAAATATAATCTCTATACACAGGCTTTGGCTAAGAATTTAAAACAATCTCTTGACACCATGCAAGCCATGAATTCGGTGATGGAACAGTTTTTATTATCCAACATACGTATTTGTAAGTGAACACATTCTTATCCTGAATTTTTTTCCTATAATTTTAACAATGCATATATATTTTAACATTAGCAACTAAAATTGAGCAGCTAGATAAACAAAAAAAATTCATTCCTAGCTTGTTAACCGTCACCATAGAAAATACCTGTCGATTCCCTGTGCCCAATATGTCTTGCATCCTAATATTTGAAAAGAAAGGTGAAGACAAGGTAAAGAAAATCGAGATCTGGTGGTCTACTGAGATCTGGTCGACAACGATACTCGAATTAACGAGAACATCTATTCATTTATGTGCAGCAAGTTATCGTTGAGTTAGAATGCATTGAAACTACCATGCAGGAAATTTCAGAACCAGTGACAGTGTATGAATTGATCTTCCTATGAAAATTCTAAGATAGAATGTTAATTAAAATCCATGGGCCTTTTTTTTGTTAGATCAAGACATTCATCCTCGATATTTGCGAACGAAATGCAGTCTTTTACATTGCCTCCTCAAACGAAGATCATTGAAAAATTGTTACTGGCACCGTCCGAGCTTCTACAAGTATAAATTTCATATATAAATTTTTGCTATATCATTTTACGTCACCAGGTTTCTGAAATTAGCGTGAAATACATCAGTATAACGTCAAGGTTATCGCGAGTTTTCCAAGTCCTGGCACCGGTAAAATCTTACAAGCTGAACATATGTTTGGTCTATATATAATTGATCAGGTATATTGGTTGGTTAATTTTAATCTCCTCATTTTGTTTGTCATGTTGTCATGTTTATCCTGTTTAGAATTTTATCTAGTGTGAAAAACGTTTATATGATAACAAAGCATTGTTTGACAAGAACCTAAACCGTATCACCGTCAATTTCTCGCCGCACGTATTACGTAAATTGTGGAACGTACATCCCAGCATTGGACTGTGTGAAGAGTTGACCTTTGAAGTCGTTTGGAATGTATGTCAATTTCTTTTAATCACATGATAAACTTCCTTGTAGTAACATGGACGCTTCAATTTAGAATGAATTATGGATATTCATATGCATTAAAGAATGGATTGGTGATGAAAGGTCTTTGGTAAAATGTGAAGTATCCGGAGTCACACTAATTGGAACCGAACTCGTGATGAAACTTGTTGAAGAATTAAAAGTGTTGGGAGAAATGGAAAAATAGTTATTTACCGAATCACAATATTAATCTATATTAGTGCTAATATAACGAACGATTCATGTAACTGAAAGGAAATATGAACATAAAAATTTCAATGTTAATGTACTGTAATCACATCTTTGATTATAGTTTGAATGCATAAACGCTGATTCGAAATACTGTATACGATTACCATATTTAAAAATCCAATAATGACTATTTGGGAACCTTAGTCGGTCCGGAAACCCTGGTTAGGTCCTGATCTGCAAGTCGATCCAAAGTTTCCGAATCGATCGCATCACTAATCATTATATGAACAGGTTTTTTCCCAAATATTTTAACGACTGATATTAGGAATTAGAAAGACCATTTAGAGTAAGAACGCGTATTCTATGTTAACGAGAAGTTTAGATTGTTCGATGGTGGATTAATAAAAATGGATACTTTTAATTTGATCATATAATTACGTAATAATTTTTTAAGATCTCAATTGTTGGAAATTATCATACGATAACTTTTTGGGTGAGATGATATACGTCATTTTTGGAATGATATCCGTAAAAAGTAAAAAAAGTTTGCGACAAGTGGGATGACTATGGATGATGATATCACGGACTTTTTTATATAAAGCGCGACAAATTATAACTTACGCTTTTCAATTAAGAACTAACTAATCAAAAAAAAAAATGTCTGAAACAATTGTTGCGATAACTCCAACGTCACCAGAAGATACCACTCTTACAAGCTCAGAAGACGCCGAATCACAACACGCACTTACCCGTGTGGTGGTCCTTGCTATTGATCAATCAGAATATAGTCACCATGCATTCGAATGGGCCGTCAAGAACTTCTTGAGAAAAGAGAGCGATTTGGTAATTATCATTATGAAAAACCCGTTTTATCTGGAATTCGATGCTAAACTTTATAATCCTATCCTTAAAGGTTGTACTAGTCAACGTCCGACCAATTCCATCAATTCCTGGTCCTTACGGTAAGTTCACGTTCTTGTGAATGCGGATCGAAAAATTTGCTTGATCTCAAACAGAACCTGCATTCTTTAAATTTTATAAAGCTATTGGTGCCAGTTATATGGATTTCAGTGAGGTCGTGACCAGCATAGAGGAACAGGTAATCATCAATTCATTAAATTAATTTCCCAGAATGCCTAATCTAATTCACACTCTTTTGTTTTAATGCAGCATCGAGTTGCTAGTCATGCATTGTTAAAAGATTTCGCTTCAAGACTGAAGGCACAAAATGTTTGTGTACAACGAATTTAACCTATTATATTTGTCTGTTTTCATCTTTTCCCTCGTTTCTGATCATCTTGAATTCTGGTATTTTAGTTTGCTCTCAAAGCAATAGCCATGAGGGGCGATGCACGTGATGAAATCGTCCGTAAAGTTTCTGAACTTAATGCCGATGCTTTAGTGCTTGGATCACGCGGTTTAGGTGCCCTGAAACGGTTGGCTTTTATTTCATTATTTAACCTCCTGGTGGTCCATAATGATTGATTCGATTCTGATTTTTTGATTTTTTGATTTTTGATAGCACAATCCTTGGCTCGGTGAGTGACTATTGTAGTCATCATTGTAATTGTACTGTGGTCATTGTCAAGGGAGGGCGCCCCGAACACGAAAAGACTCATTAGGTCAACTATGTAAAGTTTTATACTCTTTAGCATAACGATTGGTAACAATCATTTTACACGTTCGAATGTTGGTTTCTACCTATGAAAACCCTTTTTGAGTGAGAGAATATCATCCGATGTACATAATATTATCATTGTTTTATAAAGTCTGCCACTTAAATTTGACAATATCATCATCTAGTTGATAGATGTTCAATCTTAATAATAAATTAGAGGTCCCGCTCAATTGGCAATCGATTAATGATTAAACACAAAAATATTATTCATCTTATTTATTTGTTTATTGATGTTGAATAAATTATACGATTCGCTCTTCTAAAAATCAATGACATATGTTTTTAATAAAGTGGTTGTATATCTGATATGATATCACATTGTTTATTCGTCATCATCCCATTCTTCGTCGTCGTCGTCTTCTTCGTCTAAAAGTAGTAGATGATTAATCGCCTAGGTCTTACGGCATGTATTATGAATGCATGACGGAATTAACGAATGCTCACCAGAATCATCATTCAAAGCCTGCTGTCGAGTCATTAGAGCAGTAGCCAGCGTTTTTAGTAAATCATTGCCACCACTCGTTGGACTAGATGGCTCTTCTGACAAAGTAGACTGACGAGAAGGTGGATTTTGGTTTACCTAAAATTTATTCAAACTCTTGTGTCAATAAAAGGTTGGAATTTCATGAACATGTGTTTTAGGAGAATTAATACGTACAGGTTTCAATCCGGCTCCGGAAACACCGCCTACGCTACGAATCTGTGCTAATAAATCAAATCTACCTTCGGAAGACGGAACATTCGATGTTGATGGTGGTGGCGGCGGCGGTGGCGGTGGACCTCCAGTTGACGGTGGTGGCGGCGGCGGTGGTGGTGGACCTCCAGTTGATGATGGTGGTGGCGGCGGTGGTGGTGGTGGCGGTGGACCTTCAGATGACGGTGGTGGAGATGAATAATTTTTAGTTGGTATTTCGGCTTGAGTGTTGCGAGCGGGTGGGAGTGGGGGAGCTTCTAGAACTTCAGGTTTAGTTAGTGATGAAACAACTCTTGCCGGAGGTAAAGGTGGAGGTGCTGTAACAGTTCGGACAGGGGGAGGTGGGGGCGGTGGTGCAAATTGTACTGGTGGTGGTGAAGGTTGTTTAGATTTTTGAATGATTGGCGCGACTGGTGGAGGAGAAGGTTGTCTACTGTAATTATGATGTGTTGATGGCTGTGATGTAGGAATTTGTTTCGGTTGGGATGTAACTTGCTTGAGAGGAGAAGGTGAAGGTATAATTTTTTTGGGAACAATTGGTGGTAGTGGTGGTGATGAATCGTCTGAAGAAATTGAAGGTATATTTTTTCTTGGGACTATTGGCGGTGATGGTTGTGAATCATCTGAAGCAATTGAAGGTACATTTTTTCTTGGGACCTTTGGCGGTGGTGATGGTGATGAATCATGAGTAGAAATTGAAGGTACATTTTTTCTTGGGACAATTGGTGGTGTTGATAATGAATCATCTCTAGAAGTTGGTGAAACCGTAGATTTACGAACCGGTACTGGTGGTGGAGGTGGTTTTTCTTTAGATTTAACAGATATAGGTCGCTTTTGTTTAGGTGGCGGAAGTGTCGGAGGCACCTTCTTCGAATTAGCTGATCTGGTCGGTGATTTGGAAGGTGATGTCACCTTCTTAGCCCCTCCATTCGATTTGACAAAATTCATAATATCTTCCATATTTTCTTCAATCACAGACTAAAATTGTTCACAAGATTAAAGCGTTATTCAATTTAATAGGATAATAACAATGCCACTCCAGTGATTTGTTTTTACCTTCGAAACGCCAAGATCGCCCAATGAATTGAGGATTCTATTCCATTCGGGATTTATATTTTGTGCCTTTACAGTATGATAAATTAACAAATATAAGTATTGACATAATATTTACATTAAAACAAGCAAAAGACTCACATTAAATCCCGAATCGGCATTCCAACCAATGTGTTCTAGATGCCTTGTTTAAAAAATATGCATTGTGTCAAATAAATTCATGATAAAATAATTCATCAGCGGAAAACTCATCAATGTAAACCAACCTGAAATTAGTCGGCCCACTAATCATCGACGTAGTTACTTTACCATTCTTTTCCTTTTTCTTAGGCTTTTTCTCCTTTTTCTGCTTGACTAATAATTTATTATAAACATTAAAAACTATATTTGAAATACAACTAATATAACAGCACACTTATGCAAACCTCTTTTAGCAATATGCTTTTCTACTTTAGAGTAAAAATCATTAGCTTCATTATCGTCAGCAAACGAAAATGCCGCGTAGTAATCCTATAAGAAAAAAAAAATAAATTTACATTTAAAAAAAAATAAAATAAGAACCTGAATCCCAAACGACGTACAACTCACATCCGTCATGAAGGTATGGAAAAAGGGTCGCTCTTTGTTGTATACAAAATCTTCGTAGAGTTCTTGCTCCCATAATAGACCTCCATTGGTCTAAAATGAAAAAAAATTGTTAATCGACGAACGTAACATTGAAAAACGAAAAAAAATTTTTGACTAGGACTAACCAGCACGTCCACAATTTTAAAGAACAGAGATTGCTTTTTGGAATCTTCCACGAGTACAACCGCTCCCATGATGTTTGTGTATGTCCATGCATTCGGATCAGGATATGCCACATAAAGCCGGGCAACCGTGGCCATAAATATTTTCTAAGACATCGAAATGTAAAAATATTAATAAAATGATTTTTTTTAAAAAAAACAATAATATTTCTTACATTTGGCTTCGGAACATATTTCTTCACAACATCCCTGTCCTCACGACTTGGAAGGGTAACCGAAACTGAGGGCATTGTGACTTAAAAGAAGGTTCAAGAAGTTATGTAGCGAAATTGTAAATTTTGAAATTTTGTGCATTTAAAAAGATCTGATATCAATTTATAGGAAGTTTTAAATCACGCCAAGCCACAGCCAAGTTGTAATAAACTCCGACCAATTTGACAATTTGTGCGCCAAGGTCTGCAAGTTACGCAATGATGAATTTGTTACATGTAATATCTACGGGCATCATTGGAATATTTAATTCTAAATTTACCGTATTTAGATAATTATAGGAAACTCCAAAACTTTAAATAAAATCAAATTAATAAATTAACACAATATACAATAAATTTTTTTATGGTTTTAAATAATTAACAATAAAAAAGTATTTATAATATTATATATACCGTTTATTTAGAAAAAAGTATTTAAATAAATTTTAAACGTTTTGTTTATAATACTCTTAATATTAAATGTTACAATTTCTATTTTATTAAAAAAAACTTTTATTTGTTTATTATCAATTTTTAAAAAATTTTTCTTTTATAATAAATGTTTTAAATAAATGATTTCTATACAGTATATCATTTTATACTGTATTTTATATAAATTATAATCTTAAGAATATAATGATTTTAAGAATTATTATTACAGAGAACCTTCCTTAAATGTACCCTCCCTAAATATACTTACTATATTTTCCTTCTCTAAATGCATGGTCAAGCTTGGTTCCAAGTATATAGAACATTTAATAAAATCACTTCTATAAATGCACACCTTCTATAAATGCACATTTTTTAAAAACTTTACTATGGTCCCAAGGGGAGTGTATTTAAAGAAGATTCACTGTATATCAAATAAAATCTTTGATTAAAAATTAAACAAGTTTAAAAAATCTAACTTATTTATTATTTTTTATTTTTTTCATAATTAAACAAGTATTTATTGTAATTATTTAACCTTTGAAAAAAAAATATAATTATATATAAATATTTATATATAAACTATTTTATATATTTGAATATTAATTTTAAATCTTAATCTTTAAATATAATTTTGAAAATAAATAAAGTTGTTTTTTCTTGTTTTTTATTTTTTGAATAATTGAGTTTATTGCCTATAGTTTATTATTAAAGTTCATTTTGATAGAATCTTAATTATATTAAATTTTCAATTATTTTTCTTTATTTTATTTCATAATATTTTTAAAAAATTAATTATAAAATTAAAGTTAATTTTTTTTTATTTGAAATTTTTATTGTATTTTTTGAACTTTAATTTAATTTAATTTTTTTTTTTTAAATCAATTGAAACATTTATTTTTATTTAAATTTTTAAATATTTCTTATTAAAACAAATTTGCTGTTTTATCTTTCTTTTTTATTTTATTATTGTTTTTTATACTTTTGAAATCTTTTTCATATTGTTATAGAATAATTAAATTCTATAATATTATATTATTTTTACATATCTTTATATCATTATTTTATTTTTTTTTTAATATTATTTATAAAAAGAAATAATATTATAATTCAAGACAATATATGTCAAACATTACTTAACCATATGATTAATTTATAAAATTGAAAAATCTTTTTAATTTCTATAGATTTTATATAGCAAACAATCTTTAAGATAAAATATCTCAAGATTTATTTATTTAAAAAGTTAAAGTCTTTCTATTAAACTATAAATAAAATTATATGAAAAATATAATTATCTAAAATTATTAAAACTAGTTTCATAATAAAATTATTAATAATTTAAGGATTTTTTTTTAAAATAAAATATATATTTATAAAAAAATATTTTTAATATATAAGTAAAGAATTATTGTATACAGAGGGTGCCCATATTATTGTGGACACTTTTATTTTTTAAATAATAAAAAATTTTATTAATAAATAAATTTATGATATATTTATATAATATTAAGGTATAATCCATTTAAATTTCATGCAATTATAATGATTCACTTGAAATTTATAA